TTTCTAAAAACAGCATCAAAATATTAATTAATTGCTTACTAGAAGAAGATAAAAATTTCTTGGTGGAAAATGATATTATATTCAAAGATTTTGAATTATTGGAAAAACCACCATTATACAATTATGCTAAATTTACAACTGAATTAGGTTTTTATAAATTCAATGATTTTTTGCAATATTTATGTGATTTATATAGTTCAGGATATTTTCAATTAAAAACAAAATTGGATGAATTTATTTTTGATCATTCAAATATCAGAAAGCTTACAATATCAGATAGTGAAGAATTGGTGGATCATCATAGATTTGATACTTGTTTATGTATATAGTAATAGTTGTTTTTCTATACAAATCACTTGATTTGAAGACTAATATATTTAATTCAAATCTCAAAAAAATTGCCAGCACTTGATAACAATTAATTCATGATATACAATTTAATATTAATCAAAATATGTTCGTAATAAATGATGAACATTCCAACACAAATCAAATCACAATTTAATTTGTAAAAAGGAGGGTATATTACTTAAGTGCACATGGGCATTTATTCAATTGTAAATAGAATAATCCATTTTTATGTATTTTCTCCCTTGTATGTGATTATTTAACAAAAAAATGAACATTTTGAGTAGTTAAGCTTAGGAATATAGGAATAATAGGAAATATAAATTATAAAAAACAACAAGTCATTCAAAAACGTCACACTAGCTTATAAGAATTTCTTTTATAAATTATTGGTTACCAATTCTTCATAACAGAATCTGAATTTGCAACTGCTGCTTTTGCATTGTTTTTATAATACACAAAATGTCCTTGTAATTGGGCTGTACTCACTCCTTTACCTCGCACTCTCTTAACAAATTCATCTGCCAACATATCTGCCCCCTCATAAAATCTTAAAAACATATTATGAATCTGGTATTCACTTGCATTATCAAACAACTCTTTGACATCAACTCTACCAGGTCTAATCAATGCATTGTCAAGATGTTCCAAATGATTAGTTGTCATAAATATTATACGCTCTTCAGATGATGCCACTCCATCCAATGCATTTAATAATCCGCTAAATGTTACCATTGATTGATTATGACTAAAAATTAATTAATAAATTAATAAACAATATATTACATTATTACAATAAATAAAGCATTTATATATTTAAATGTAACAATTTTTTTCTTATACCTTCCACGATATTGCTGTTTTTCTGTTGTAGTTGTCGGCAATTGCTTTGGGTTAAAAGCTGCATCAATATCTTCTAATAATATAATACTTCGTTGGGGTGCATTGCTCATCAAATGATTTAATCGATCATCTGTTAATCCCAATTCTGCCAAGTTTAATATGCAAATATTATATTCCAACTCCCCTGCAAGTGCTTGTATAAAACTACTTTTACCACTTCCTGGTGGCCCATACAACAAATACCCACGCCTATATGGTATTCCTAACATATATTATTCATGATATTAACAATAACAAATGTAACCATATTATTATTAAATAAAGTATATGTGATCTATCTCACCTCTGTCATTATACCATTTGCCATTGCTAATAAAATCTTTGACATCTTTAACTACCCTTTCTTTAACTCCTCTATCTAATATCACCGAATCTAATAATCTACGTTTTCTTGGTAATCCAAAAGGTCGCCATTCAGGCCCCCAACTAGTAAAAACAACAGTTTTTCCTTCTTGTTTAGCTAATGCTAGTTTTTGTGCTTCCTTCAACAATTCTCCAAACAAATGTCGGTCACGGGCCAATGTTGTCAACGTGACGGTTTCCCATGGACTACCAGAAGTCATATCCAACATCTTGGTATCTCGTTGACGCTCAACCTATATATTATCAACAACTTCCGAAAGAACAACTTTTGAAATGTGTACAACAACCTTCTTATTTCTTCCTTTTTTTTTTCTTTGAATAAATACTCGTATTTCTTGTGCATTTTTCCTTGATTCTTGGTTTATTAAAGATTTGTTTGTACACATTTCAAAATTTGTTCCAAAGAAGTAGTGGTGTCTAAATTTAATTCAATATATATATATATTAAGTAATACAAAATATATATAAATATTAAATGAATAAAAATACATACCTGTAACCACACACCTTTCCATCTAAAGAAATGTTTTCCTGGTCCTGGAACCAAGCTGAATGCCGTACTAACACTACCATTGTCATGTTGTATAAAACTAGTTTCTACTGCATATTGATGTATTCGCTGTTTGGACTGTTGTGACATCCATTGCAAAAACCATTGATATGACTTGTCTCTTGAAGGAATCTCTAGAGATACAAGCATTTGTCTACGCGTTATGGTAAGTCCATACATCAACCCTTTTCTTAAGGCTGCTAGGCCTGCTCCTACCCCGATAACTCCAACTCCTGCTGAAAAATATGGATTTGAGGAAAAAATTCCTGATAACAATGAAGATTCTACCATTTTATCTTGAAAAAAATTTTTGATTTCATTTTAAGCATGGTGTACATTTGATTTCATTGGCTAAATTTTGTGATAATCCCTTCCAGATATCGCGCAAAAAGAACGGTTGATGATTTGATGTTGAGAATAATGTCAAAGATGTTTGGGTTGAGCGTCAATATATTAGCCTATATTTTTTTTCAGGCCATACCATTTTTTTATTGATTTTTTTTGATTTATCCCAAAATTTATTTTACATCAGTTGGTTAAAAACCCTCTTTTGCCTAATATAATAATGTATTATTATTATCAATTAAATAAAATAAATTCGACTCCGATTAAATAAAAAATAATAAAAACATTAATAATTACTTAATTACTTTTTATTTTTATAAATAAAATGGAAAACAAAACCAGACTTCTTCATAAAACAAAAAGAAAACCTAGTGTTTTAGCGGTGCCACAAACTGTATATCTTGGATTGGAATTAGATTATGATCAGGTCAATCAACAAAAAATAGTTTATGCTGTTGCTATACATGATGGATATTATACAATTGATTTTGAATTTTCTTCAGTGGATGTTTCCAAGTATAAAACAGAGCAAGAAAAAATCAATGGGGCCATTGACACAATATTAGGAAATATTACTTCATATGTTAGATCTCAAAATTTCAAGGTTCAAGCTATAGGTCTAGGTGCTTATTTAAAAAACCAAGATGGAAAAAATATAAAAAAGTTATTGTACACATCACCTACTTTAGCATCAAGAATTTGGTTAGAACTTGATGCATTGCCATTCATTGTCCATACAAAAGGTATGACTGTTGATGAGAGAGCTAGTTCTGCTGTTAGAAAAACTGTTGTTTGGTAAATATTAAAAATCTATTGATCTATAAATATTTATATAAACACACACAACACACACACACACATATATAAACTGACTTTTGCATATTTGCATACATATGAATATAGGATAAGTCCTCTAACACCAGGATCAATTCCAAGAATATCAGTTGGCTATAGGCATGAAGTAGAAGTTGATCTCAATGGAATGATCAAATTGGTTGATTTGCTTCACTATGAAAAAACTGTTTGCCCTGAAACCTGGAGAGTAATAAATACAATTGCAAATGAGATCAGAGCTAAAAATATTTGTATATCATTTTTTAATTCCACTCCTCAAGGTGGTGGAGGTAAGTAGTTTTGAATGGATTTATTTATTTGTTAATTTTATTCCTATTATATTTATATATTTTATATTACCCAATTGATTAGTTGCTCTAATGAGACATGCACTTGTACGTTTATGTCTTTTATTAAAACTTGATATACACTGGTTTGTTGCCAAACCAAAACCTGAAATTTTTGATATCACAAAAAGAAAATTTCATAATGTTCTACAGGTAGTTAATTATTAAAAAAAATTTGTAACTACATAATAATGAGTTAATTAAATTTATTCATTTATTCTATATTTAAAAGGGTGTTTCTTCACCTGATGTTAGATTAACAAAATCTGATAAGGAAGAATTCATTACATGGTCTAATACTAATGCTGAACGCTTCTGGAGTGATGATAAAGGCCCTATAAAAATAAGTGATGTGATAATTATAGATGATCCACAAGGTACACATGATATTCCATTATCTATATAATCAATCTTTATCTATTTATTTAAAATAAAATAATCATACTTAGTTTATATTTTATATTATAGTTTGTGGTATTATTCCACACATCAAAAAAAATAATCCAACTTGTAAAATTATTTATAGAAGTCATATTGAAAGTAAGTTGCTTTTTTTTTAATTTCTTGTTTTTTTTTTTTTTTTTTCTGATAAATAATATTTATACAAGTTACCTACGTTTATTCAAGTTTGTGCAGATTTAATTAGAAAAAATCCAAATGGCCCACAAGCTGAAACTTGGAATTTTTTATATCAATTCATATCACAAGTTGATCTTTTTGTATCTCATCCAATTGCAAATTTCATACCAGATAATGTTCCCCGTAAAAAGGTAATTATATATTTTTTTTTAAATAAAAATTTGTTATTTGGTATATTATTTAACTTGACATTATCTAAACAATTGTTCTCTTTTTTTAAAACATTTGTTTAGATTGTATTGCTTCCAGCTTCTACAGATCCATTAGATGGTTTAAATAAAGAATTAAAAGATTCAGACAAAGAATATTATAAACTAATTTATAATCGTTTATCAAATGATCAATGTGGTGTGGTAATAGATTTTCGGAGGCCATATATTGTTCAAGTTGCTAGGTTTGACCCAAGTAAAGGTATTAATTTATTATATTATTATTATTATTATTGCTAAAAAAATTTTTTTTTTTTTGATGTTAATTTTTAATATAACATAATATCATTATAGGTATTCCATTATTAATTGAATCATTTAGATTATTTAGAGAGAAATTGAAAAATACAGGTTGGGATAACTATGGAATGCCCTCATTAATTATATGCGGTGCTGGTAGCATAGATGATCCTGATGGTACATTAATATATGAACAAATTCATTCTTTATTAAGTGAAAGTATATATCAAGATATAGTTGATGATATATCAGTTGTAAGATTACCACCTTGCGATCAACTTTTTAATACAATGTTAAGATGTGCACATGTTGTATTACAATTAAGTACACGAGAAGGATTTGAAGTTAAAGTCACTGAAGCTTTGGCAAAAGGTGTACCTGTTGTAGCTTTTAAGGCTGGTGGTATACCACTACAAATTCGCCATGGAGAAACTGGTTTTTTGGCTGATGTAGGTGACACTAGTCAAGTTGCTGACTATTTATATCAATTATTTAATGATGATGACCTTCATAATAGAATGTCACAAGCAGCAAAGACAACAGTCACTGAAGAATACTTTACAGTATTTCAAACTTTGAATTGGTTATATATTATAAATCAACTGAGTAATAGTAAGAAATCAAAAAATATTAGTAAAGATAATGATGATGATCAAGAAGAACCCAATATAGTTAAAAAGGTCAGGGAAGAAGAAGGGGAAGTTTTTGTGGGTAATGGTAAATTGGTAAAAGAACTATGGACTGAAAAATATAATTACAAAGGAAAAAAATATGATTAATGGTGTTTGATAAGTAATGTTGTTTTCATAATCATTATCTTAGTACTGTTACTAGTGTTTATTATTGATTTTAAGTTTTTGACTACATTACTAGATCATAGTATTACCAACTTTTAGAAGTTATTTATATAATACATAATATTTCAAAGTCATACTTACAC